CTGGCCATGACTGGCAGCTGCAAAGGAAGGTGGAGTGGTGAACATTTTTAGCTGGGTACTTTGCTGCTCTGAAAAAGAATCAGGGTTCAGTTAGTGAGGCAGAAGTGGAGAAAGGACTTGGGCAGGCAATTAGCAAAGTGCTAAGTGGGCTTAATAAAGAACGGCTTAATGATTCAGGTCAATATAGATACTAATTGTAGACATTGAATCATCAGGGCTGAAAGAGACAATAAAAAAGCACAAAAAGTTTGAAACAAGTGGTCAAAAACTTTAGAATAAAGATCCAGTTCTGGAAAAATGATTATAAAATGCTTGATTTTATTGTGAAAACTTCTTCTCTTAAGATCAGAAAATGCAACATTGGTGACTATAGTTGAGATTTCCTTGATTATTTCTTCATCACTGGATGATTTTCATTCTTGGAGAAATTTCAGAAGTTGAATGGTTAGCATCAACGGTTACATTTGCCTATGATGCTGGGCCACTGTAATTGAGCAAGATGGCTTATGTTGCCTTTTCTTGACTGACTTCATTTCACTTATTTGTGAAATCTGTTTCATATCATAGTGTTACTTCTTGGTCACAATTTTTTACTTTGCAAGCAAGCCAAAAAAAATATCTTTATCACAGATAAGTATTCTTAAATCCATTTGCTCTGAAGTATACAACTTTCATAAGTGATTTTTCCCCCTGGCAGCTGAGGTTTAAATCTAATTGAGAAAATATCTTATTCACAGGTACAAAAGCACCCCCTCCTAGCCAGCTCTTTTTCTAGTCCCAGATGAAGTCACTTAATGCTCATCACTGCCTATCATGCATCCCAATGAATTTGTACTCCTCTATCCACCCCCAGCCCCTAGGACCTAGCCAGGAGAAAGTTAAAACCTCCAATGAGCACCGATGGGATGGGATGGGAAGTTTCTAAATCTAGAAACCTATACTCAAAATATGGTGTTCCCACCAGCAGCAGCAGCACCATCACCTGGGAGCCTGTTAGAGATGCAGAGTCTCAGGCTCATCCCAGATCTGTTGAATCTGACACTCTAGTAACATGTGTTTTAACAAGCCCTCCAGGTGATTCTGCTGCAAACTAAGGTCTGAGAATTGCTATCCCTAGACCAATGGTCTTCAACCTTAATTACACAATGAAATCACCTGGTGGGTTTAAAATGACTTAAAAATTATTATGTCTCCCACCTTCAGAAATTCTGATTTTATTGGTCTAGGGAGCAGCTGGACAGTAGGATTATTAAAGGGTCCCCAAGTAGGTTTCTTGTGCAGCCATTTTAGAGGCATGAGAGAATTCCACCAAGCAGAAAACCTACATATTTGAGAGTGTATTTCCAATAAGACTCAGAGCCAGTACTGGACGGTGGACCAGTACTGTGTCCCTTTGAGAGGGACATACCCAGTGATCTTTCTTCTTAGGTTCTATCTTGATCATTCTTTTAGGGTCCACCTTTCTCTTCTCCTTCGTGGCTGGTGCCATATATGCACCAGGGCTCATTCTGATTGCAAGATCCCTTCTATCCACTTCTCACTAGGCATGTGGCCCATGGGGGTAATGAACAGAGGATTCATTCATAATAAACAGGTCAAAGCCCTGTATAAGTAGAAGAAGTGTATTTGTCCTGAACAACTGTCTCCATTGTACACCTTTTCTTAAATCTCTGGTCAAGAACTCCTAGCTAACATCTCTTTCTTTATTTGAGGAACATAACTAATGTTCTATACTATCTTCCTGCCAAATTGTGTCCAGTCTCTTCTTGGGAAACTCTCTATTCCTAGAACAGACCTTTTCATGTTCATATATGACTCTAATTGTGCAAGTTCTCCCCTTATTTAAGTACAAATCTGTTTTTATGGAGGGCCCAATGATGGATCCTAGATCTGCCTATAGAATAGGTTTCTTTACATGACATTACAACTCATCAAACATTTAGACATTTGTCAAACCTTGTGATATTGTGATTTATAATAAGAAATATATACTTGGTCTTTGTCCTTTTTGCTGGCACAGAGCTCCTGAAACCCTTGGAATTTCCTAAGTGATGGGAGCAATAAAAGTGTCTTTATGTTAATAGATGACTTTTGGACTGCACCTAAGGATGGGGGCTGCTTGCCAGGAGAATCAATGAGGTGATTAGAGGGTTGGAACTTTCAGTCCCATCCCCCTAACCTCTGGGGAGGGAGGAAGGGCTGGAGGTTGAATCAATTGCTAATGGCCAATGATTCAATCAATCATATCTATGTAATGAAGCCTACATTAAAAACAAACAAACAAACAAAAAACCAAAAGGACAGGGTTGGGAGAGATTCTGAGTTTGTGAACACGTGGAGATTTGGGGTAGAGTGGCATACTCAGAGAGGACATGGAAGCTACTTGTCCTTTCCCCATATCTTGCCCTGTGCCTATCTTCCATCTGGCTGCTTCTGAGTTATATCCTTTTATAATAAACTCATAACCTAGTAAAATGTTTTTGTAAATTTTGTGAACCATGCTAGTAAATTACTCAAACACAAGGAGGGAGTCATTAGAACCTGCAAAATATAGCTACTTGGCCCAAAGTACAGGTAATAACCTGGACTTGTGATTGGCTGGCTCGTGAAGTAGAGGGCAGTCTCATAGGACTGAGCCCAAAACCTGTGGTATCTGACACTATCTCAAGTAGATAGTTTCAAAATTGAATTGAATGTTGAACACCAAGTTGGTGTCCAAGAATAGTTTCATAGTGTGGGAACCTGAGCCCCTTTCCCCATATTGGAATTGGTATCAGAACGTGTAAGCCACCTCTAATTTTTGTCTATTTCTTCTTTGGGTTCAGAATTTAATTTTTAAATAGTATTTCTCTGTAGTAGATATTGTTGGGGTCTACTCTGGACCCTCTTTCCCAGGCTACATGCCCATTCCCACCTGCTCTGAGAGCTTACAGCTATATTCTCTAGAAAACTGCCTGAAGCTGATGGACACCACAACAGTGGAGATGTGTGCCACCCCTCACCTAGGCCAGCCATAGCCAGTGGCTGACTGACATGAGGACAAGAAAGCCCAGTTTCCCTGTCTCAAGGGTAGGACAATTCTGATCTCCAGGGCTGACCATATCCATGCCTAGTCCCCTCCCCTTTTCCTGAGAATCTTCCCCCAACAAATCACTTGACAAGAATCCCCATTTCAGGCTTTTCTAGGGAACTTGAACTAAAACAGCTTCCAATGAGTGCAAATATTTAAGACTGCTCCTTTTATGTGATCACCCACATTGCCACACATTTGTTTGACCAGTCAGGATTAAAACAGCCTGCTGAGCCCCAAAGGAATTAAGCATAAAAGAGAGCTCAAGGACAGGTTTGACTGTTTTTATGGGGCCAGGGTCAAGGGTGTAGCCTGGGAAGCCTGGGTAGCAGCTGCTACCCAATAGATGCTTTGCAATAAGAAAAAGACTATTCTCGATGCTACTGTCTTGATGCCCCAGCCACATGTAGCAGATTGATTACAAAAAAAAAAAAAAAAAAAAAAAATGGCCCTTATTTTCTTCCCATCTCTGTATGCACTCTCATTGCAATGTGATTTTGCAGTTCCTCCAATTTAGAGGTAGAGCATGTTTGCTGCTTGAACCTTGGCTGGACTTGTTTGGACCAATAGAGTCAAGGAAAACAAATAGTTTTGCCAGTTCCAGGCCTGACATCCAGAGCCCTTGAGCACCTCTCCTTTCTCTTTTGGATCCCCAGCCACCACCATACGGCAATGCCCAGGCTAGCCTCCTGGAGGATGGAAGACACATGACCCAGCCATGTCATTTCCCCAGACAGCAGCCAGCTGACCACCAAACATGGGGGTGAGGTTATCCTAGAGCACTCATCCTCCAACTGACCACTGACTCACAAGCAACCCCAGCTGAGATCAGCAGAGCCTGGCTCTGAACCGAAAGACAACCCAGTTGACTCATAACCTTGAGACCTAATTATGGTTGTAGTTTGAAGACACTGAGTTTTGGGGTGACCTATTAGGCAGCACTGTGGTAACAGTTAATTGATACCCCACAGCTTTCAGACCCTTCTTGGAGAAACCCAAACATGGGACACATGCATTAAACTACAAACTAAACAGCTCTGCATGTCTGATTCTGGTCTTGAGGAGACAGGTTTGCAACTGACAGCCACAGAGAGAGCAAGGGTTCTGGTGGCCAGAGCACAGCACTTGAGGCAGGAGCAGGTTTTGAGCTCAGAGGGGAACTTGTGAGCAGCAAACTACACAGCCTGAGGCCTCTTGTGCAGTCACAGGGGAAGTGATGAGAAAGCAAGTTTTATTTTTGTTTCAAGGTCTAGCAAAAGTACCTGTGAAGCCAGCAGGGAGCAAATCAGGGAAGTTGACTGATTTGGCCAACAGGGGCTTCCATTTTATGAAAGATGTGGGACGGAAGAAGAGAAGGAGAACAGAACCCAGAAATGTGAAAATCGGGGGTAAAATTAGAAACAGGTTTTCTCTTTTTGTAGCTCTAAAATGTCTATATTAGAATATAGCAAGCATATAGTAATTTGTACAAATCTGAAGAATCCATAGCAGTGAATTGGTACTACAAGCACCCAGGCCAGTATGAAGGATCTTTCCAGCACCCAGAAGGCTCCCTTATGCCCATTCCCAGTCAACTCCATACAGAAGTAATCCTATTCTTAGTTTTACTTGTTTTTGGACTTCATATAAATGGAATCATATGGCATATGCTCTTATGTCTGACTTTTGCTGCTCAGCATTTCATTTGTAAGATTCATATATGAGGGTACATGATACAGTATTTTGTTCTTTTTTTGTCAATGTAGTATTCCATTGTATAAATATACCATGATTTATTTATTCTACTGCTATTAGACATTTGGGCTCTTTCCAGCTTTGACTTTATGAATAGTGCTGCTATCAAAGTCTTATACATGCCTTTTGGTGCACACACATTCTCTTTCTTTTGAGAAAACAGTGGCTTTCAATCAACCTCTCTTTTGTCCATTACCTGGCCCAGGTAATGTCTCAGCATCCTTGGTCACCTGTTGGCCACAGGCTTATGTAAGAAACTGCATTTGAATCCAGATTCAATCTTCTTTCTGGGAGGAGGGAAAGAGAAGGAAAAGGGAAAGGAAGGGAAGAGACAGCTTCAGTGACAACAGAAATGTTAATCAGTCCCTCTTAACTTTACATTTTCTCTCTGGTAGCCATCTGAGATGCCTAAAATAATGACATTCATTTGAATTAAAGATGTGAAGACTTCTTTTAAGATGCAAATTTGCGTTTTAGAAGGGCAAATACATAAAATAATTAAATTGTTACAGTTTCCTGGTGCTTTGTAATGCTTAAATTGTCCTCTTATTTGCTAGCCCCTCCTACTCAGAGTGATCTCCAGACCAGCAGCATCCACTGATGTGGGAGTTTGTTAGAAATGCAGTCTCCCTACCCCAGAACTATGGAATCAAGATCTGTATTTTAACAACATCCCCATGTAATTCTCATGTACATTAAAGTTTATGAAGCCCTCTAGTATCCCTCTTGATACTCACAAGACCCCATAAAACAGATATGGGAGAAGAAATTGTTCTCACTTTACAGATGGGGAAATCAAGACACAGAAAGATGTACTTGATGTACCAAGGGCACCCTGCTCTTTCCATGCTGGGGTAAGTTCTCTAGATGAAAACTGCTAGTTTTCCGTTATTTCACACTGGTACTCACTGACATGCCTAGCGTGCCATCAGGTCAACCAGCCTGTTTCTCCCTGGAAAGCACTGTCCCGACAGGCTGCATTATAGTCTGGGTCACTCTCTTTGGACGTTAGCCTGAAGAGTCATCAGAAGGACACAGATGTGGTGGCATGGTGGGGGTGGGGGATGGAGGAAAGGAAAGGGAATGAGGAAACACATGAAACAGCAGAGAGGCATGGAAAGCATTTGAAGCAGCATCAGAGACATACTACAAGTTCCTGCCATCGCTGTCTTATTCCTTCCTTGCCGGCAAGCAAGAGGTCTCTGCTGTGACGCAGTCTGCAAGAGGCTGTTGGCAGCCAGCCCAGAGCTGGACTGTGCCCTTACTGCAGTGCTCTCAGCTATGCAGGGAGACTGGAGGCTGCCCGGTGGACCTTTGCTGGGCCCCTGCAGAGGACTGACACCACCTGAGCCAGAGGGGACACAGCTCTGCAGCAAACAAAGCCAGCCAGACTGCAGAGCTCGCTGGAAGGCTGGGTGCAGTAACTCGAGACAGGTGCAGCTCAGGGCATTCTTGTATACATCTGTAGGTTCTGAGGACCCTAGGGTTTCACCATCTATTCTGCCCCGCCTAAAAGCAGCGCCAAGCTGCAGACTTGCTTCATCTGGCCTAGAGACATCTGGGTATTCCCCCTCGACCCTGAGCCCTGTGACTGTCTGACAGCCAGGATGATTCTGGCTCAGTAAGGCTCAGAGTTCAGATCAGTGTCACATACCGAGACTCTATAGCCTTCCCTCAAATCCAGCTGGAGGGAGCTGGAAAATACCCAGGGCTCTGTCTATTTGGATGCTGATATAGGAATACTCCAAGGAAAACTACAGCCTCCCCCCTCACCACCTCTACAGATGCCAGTTGTCAAAGGTACAGTTAACAGTGGCCTTCCAAAGCCAATGTCTGATTTTTCCTAACTCCAAAGGATGGCTCTAATGGCAGAGGTTCTAGAACAGACAAAGGGAGGGAGTTACCATAGGTTAGAGAGAGCTACTTAGGACAGGTGAAGAAGCTTGTAGGGAGTTGGAGTAGGGGCCCAAACTTCTCCTTAAGTCTAAAGAGTAGAACCATTGCCTTAACCTGGGTTCTTCCTATTGCTTAATTTCCATAACTTTCATCCTTCAACCCTCAGTGGCTTTCTTTCTCCCATGTTGGGAGATGGTTGCCCCTTTCTATGAACAGCTGTGGCCTGTTTATTCAGTCACGGTCCAGTTGTGTGGCAAGGACACTGATCCAACCTCCTAGCAGATAAAGCTATGCAAGAATGAGGATCAGTTTCCAGGCCATGGTCAAAAACTAGTCTGTGTGTTGTATGTGTTGGTAGGTGGTCAGAAGTAGAGAAAGAAGGAGACAGAGGTCACTGAAAAGAATCAGTCAGAAATCACTGTTTGAGGATGAACAGTTTCTTGGGCAGCATAGGGCTTCTTTCCCACTAAGCTCTACTGAGTAAATGCTCTTTCCCTGTCATGACTATGGGCCTCTACACAGTTCCCCAGACGGTACAGATCAAACCTTCTCATGACAGTGGAGATGCTTTTAAAAATCTCCATGACAGGGGCGCCTGGGTGGCTCAGTCAGTTGAGCGTCCGACTTCGGCTCAGGTCATGATCTCACAGTCCGTGAGTTTGAGCCCCATGTCGGGCTCTGTGCTGACAGCTCAGAGCCTGGAGCCTGCTTCAGATTCTGTGTCTCCCTCTCTCTTTGACCCTCCCCCATTCATGCTCTGTCTCAAAAATAAATAAACATTAAAAAAAAATTTTTAAATCTCCATGACAGAAATTGGTCTATCGATGTGTGAGATGCCCCATGACTAGGGTGTAAATCAGTTAATTCCAGACACCCTGTTTCCTGAATTTGCATCCATATTTTTCTACCTGTTTGATTCAAGCAGCCAACACTTAAAATCTAAGCCAGACCTTAGATTCTGTCTTGTCTTTTTTGTTAGTCTCTCACTGTCCCCATAGAGGACATCCATTCATTCAATTAATAATTATTAAGCACTTGTGCATGAGTCATTGTGCTAATGAGAAATAGAGTTTCTACCATATAGGAGTTTCTTTATTCTACAGATATGTATCAGCACTGCGTGCTCACATAGCAATGTGTGAGGTGTTAGAGAGGGTAAGAAGGAAGAGAATACAAGCCCTCGTGAAGATTCAGACACATCTGGAGACTTGTGCTAGATCACACACAGCCCATTTCTCTTGTCAAAGAAGCGGGTCCTTGCTACAGAAGTGTGGATTCACTGGAAACTTGTGTGAGATGCAGAGTCTCAGACTACCTCCATGTCCCACACCCCAGACTTGCTGAATAAGAACCTGTTTTTTAACTGAATCCCTCAAGCACTTTTACTTTTTACTTTTTCCAAGTAAAATTTGAGACCACTGATGTGGACTCCCTGATGTGGAAGCTGTAGGAGTTTAGGGGTGAGAGAGATTATCGTGTACTTCAGTGATCCAAAACATACCCATGCATGAGTTTGGCTCTCAAGAATGACTGGACTTTAGCTGGGTACAGAGGGCTCAGGGAATAGTAATTTCCCACTTCTGCCAAGTTAAAAAAAAAAATCTTCAAGCTCCAGAAGGCAGTAAAATCTTGCGGACACATTTTCCACAATAGCAAAAGCTTTGAGTCAGGTAGGATGACTCGGCAAATTTTTGTGGTTGCCAGTGTCAGGATCCCCAAATGGCAACTTGCCCAGTTTGAACCACTTGAAGGTCAGATGGCCTTGTATCCTGGAATGGATCTGCCCCCACAAGATTCCTGGCCTTGCCCAACCTGCCTGTTCATCAAATAGATGACCAATGAGAAACTGGCTCATTATTTTCCAGCAGTTACTCAGCCAGTTGGTAGCTCCCAGCAAATTGAGTCCTGGAGTGGCATCATCTGAACATCAGTGGGGTGGCTGCTTTATCAAGCCAGTTCAGGAGAGCAGATAAATCACTGTGAAGTTGCAGTTAGAGGCCGTCTGTACTGTGACTATTGCTTAATATGGGTGCCTCAATTTTCTTGCACTCACCCTTCCTACATCCAATTTAAGAATTAAGATTTTTGTTCTAAATATAAAAACTGAAACAAATAAACAGATCAAAACATGACTGCTGTTAGTGTTATCTCCTGTTTCTACTTACTGTCCCAACGTCTATGTTTGTCCATTAATTTTATCAGAAAAAAATGATACAGAACTTCACAATGCCATTGAATGCGTTGCTTAAAATTCAGGCCCGCACTCCATAGTGATAAAACCTGTCCATCCTTTCAGAAGTCATGCCAAGGAGAATCTCCTTGAAAGTAGGTAAGTTCTAAAGACAACCTGGCCCAAGTCATCTACCATCAGGCAGATTTCTCCTTGAGATTATTTTCTAGCAGCAGGGATGGGTTTGTGCTGAGTGGTGAGTCGTCCATACCCTCTAAGCTTTGCAGCCATGGCTTGTTTTATGAGGCAGCCAGCAGGGTAAGGAAATGAGCAGATGATGAGTAGCAGGACCCAGCTGGCTGGCTCACAGGAAATGGAACCTAAGATCTTTGACTCATCAGCTCTATTCTGATCCCTTTGATCTGGTGCTTAATTAATAACATGGCAATATCATCTGTCCTAAACCCACCACTGCTCATGGCCACCCTCTTCTCTCTTCTCTGCTCTAATCTCCAGGACACCAGAAGCACTGGTCAGTCAACTACTTCTCTTAACCATTATCATGGATGTGATTTCAAATTGGTGCAGGCTGGGTTTATGCCTGAGCAAGATGGCAGGTAGGGGCAGGCACACACCACTAAGTAGACATATTCCTCTTTATCTGGGGGCTGTGTTTTTAGGGAAGAGCTTTCAAGTGGGGAGGTTTGAGCCTCAAATGCTAATCTCATCATTTGCCTCCATCTTTTCAGAGACTGAGCCTATTTTACTGTGTTTTTGAGATGATCAAATGAAAGTGTGAGAAATCTGGAAGCCATACAGGTAAACAAAGGTTGAAGGCACTGATTGAGCTCAGAGGAAATCTATTTTCGAACTTTGGAGATGTTGTCCTGTGAAACAGAGAGCCAGTAAGTTTTTGTGATTCCCTGGATAGGGTGTAAGTTCAGTGGAAGAAGGCACTTCCTCACAAGGAAAAGCTACCCAACAATGGAGGCAAGACCTTTCTTCTTGAGTTAGGAGCTCCTCATCATGACAGGTACTTAAGCTGAAGCTCCTTTGAGGAAAGCTCCTTTGAGGAAACACCTGCATTATAAGGGAAAGGTTGGAATAGAACTTTACCATTCTTTCAACTCAGATTCTAAGATGTATGCAGAGCTAACCTTCACAGAGTAGTTGCTATGGTGTCATTTTATATGTATTATCCCATTTCACTTGCATGGACTC